CGCCTGTGCGCACATGCACGCGCGCTGGCTGCACGGGGAGATAGGCGTTTATGGGGGCTCTGTGCTGCGGGCGTGCGCGGAGCGCGGCGGCCCGGCGCGCCTGCAGGGTTGCGTGCACGTGCGGCGTTGCGTGGGTGCATTGGGTGCTGGGTGCGTGTGCACGGCTGCTTTGGAGGTGTGCACGGCTGCTTTGGGAGTGTGCACGGCTGCTTTGGGGGTGTGCACGGCTGCTTTGGGGGGCTGTGCACGGCTGCTTTGGGAGTGTGCACGGCTGCTTTGGGGCTGTGCACGGCTGCTTTGGGGGGCTGTGCACGGCTGCTTTGGGGGTGTGCACGGCTGCTTTGGGGGGCTGTGCACGGCTGCTTTGGGGGTGTGCACGGCTGCTTTGGGGGTGTGCATGGCTGCTTTGGGGGTGTGCACGGCTGCTTTGGGGGGTATGCATGGCAGCTTTGGGAAGCTGTGCATGGCTGCTTTGTGGGGTATGCACAGCTGCTTTGGGGGTGTGCACGGCTGCTTTGGGGGGCTGTGCACGGCTGCTTTGGGGGGTGTGCACGGCTGCTTTTGGGGGTGTGCACAGCTGCTTTGGGAGTGTGCACGGCTGCTTTGGGGTGTGCAGCGTTGCACGGGGTAAAGAGCTTTGCAGGACTGTGCATGCAGGCTGTTGCTCTGCTGGGGACAGCAGTGCGCACCTTGTGTTGGGCTTTGCAGCAGGATGGATGGAGTGCTGAATTTGGGTGGGAGGGTGTGCGTGGTGTGCATGGGTGTTGCAAAACTGTGTGTGTGCAAGGCACTGCATGTCCTTCCTGGGCACTTAACACATGTGCAGGGTGTTGCACATGCATATGCAGGGTGTTGCACACAGCTGTGCAGGGTGTTGCACACATGTGCGGGCTGTTGCACACACATGTGCTGGATGTTGCACACCCATGTGCGGGCTGTTGCACACACATGTGCAGGCTGTTGTGCTGGCTGTTGCACACACACATGCAGGCTGTTGCACACACACATGCTGGTGTTGCACACACACGTGCTGGTTGTTGCACACCCATGTGCTGGATGTTGCACACACATGTGCAGGCTGTTGTGCTGGGTGTTGCACACACACGTGCAGGGTATTGCACCCATGTGCTGGGTGTTGCACACACACATGCAGGCTGTTGCACACACACGTGCAGACTGTTGCACACCCATGTGCTGGGTGTTGCACACCCATGTGCAGGCTGTTGTGCTGGGTGTTGCACAC